TTTGCCCCTGGGTTTTACTGGACTTCACCCCATGTTCCCTTTCCCTCTGCTTTTTTGCTTTGTTTTCTTTTCACATTAATAAATTTTAGCCCAAGTCCAATAACATGTTAAGACCCATGAATCGTTTTATCATCAAACCTGAGATTCTCAACACAACTACACATCAATGTTTTTCCCCATTTGAAGAAAGAGAAATATTTTAGATTTATTGGGAGATTTTATAAATCTTTTGACAGTGTATGGGAAGGAATTCTTGTCTCTGTTTTTTGATTTTTTTTCATTTTCTTGCTTTGACAGTGCTTATATAGTGAGAAGTAAATATTAGACTTGGTAGTAAATATTAATGTAATTCTTTGATGGAGAAAAAATGTTTATTACAATTAGACTTTTCTTGTTGGTTATTTGATGAGGAGGGATTAAAGAAAATGCCAAAACAATGGCTGAGTAGAATTTTTAGCAAAAGAATAAAGGAGGAATTCTATGATAGATTTTACCTGGAGCATAATACAGACTGACAAGATTTTTTTTCCTGTTGAAATTCAAACTTGCGTTCCATTAAGTGGGGATAACCATATTTGTTTACAATATGATCTATACCTTCTTCTATACATTTACAYTTACTTACAGGTGAATCATTGTATATTGATGCTGATGTGAAAAAGTCTGCCTTTTTTTTTTAACCTTTATATGTTTATTTAGGTTTTTTATGTGGTACTGCATGCTAGGCAAGCACTCTACCACTGAGCCATAACAGCCTAAAAAGTCTGCAGTTTTTAAGTAGAAGAATAAAAGTGTTTTTATGTTTAAGATTTGGGCTTGTATGTATTAATCCTGAGTCTATTAGTGTTGCTCTTTAAAGAGAGAAAAATAAATAATATTGAATTTATTTTGCCTTAAGGTTCAAAGGAATTGCTAAAGGAATCCAAAGAATTTTGTAACTGAGTCCATTATAAATTTGAGACAATCTAACTGTAATCTTATCTGTTTATCATTTTTAGACATCTTCTCTTATTCATTTCTTTCTGTGGGTGTGGTTATTCTCACTATTTAAATACATAATTCCACCCCATTCCTACCTTTCCCTCATGAGACAGAAACTTTCCCAACATTTTGGTAGGACTGTCCTTTTGTTTGGAGTTTGACATCAGAGAAGTTCACTTTCAACATGCCAAATTTAAGATGCTTGTGGGACTTCTATAAGTAGAAAGTCATTAAACAATTAGATACTTAAAAGTCTGGAGTTAAGCGTTCTGACTTCGGAATTAAGGATATTAATATACGAATGATATTATGTAGAAGGAATGATGGTTAATCCTGGAACAGGCAGAGTTAATCTTATTTGAAAGCTAAATGGTAGAAAAAAACTAGAAACCTAGAAAAAAACCTAAAAACCTAAAAAAAACTAGAAAAGGAGATAATGAAAGAATGAGAAGAAAATGGAGAACTTCTGAGAAGTGATGATATAAGTCAAGATGGAAGAGAGAACTCAAGAGTGATCAAGCTGAAATTAAGTGTCACATGCTTTAAGGAAACTAGGCAAGGAAAGAATTTTAGAGTCCATTGTCTTTATCTGTACATGATCTTTAGGAATCTTAATGAGAGCTGTTTTAATTGTATGGTAGGTGGAAAACAGATGCAGAATACGCAATGATTTGGAAATATGATTTTATGGGCATCAAATGTGGACTACTCTTTCCAGGATCTTGGCTTAAAATGATGAAGAGTACAGGGGGCTAGTTAGAAGATAATGTAAAATTGAATTAAATTATTTTAATTTTAAAATTTCTGTTATTTTTCTAGATGAACATAACATTACCGTTGTTTTTTAAGATGGACAGTGTAGAGTAGAATAATGCAGTAGAAGAAGTGGGCTGGGGTTGTGGCTCAGTGGTAGAGCACTTGCCTCTCATGCATGAGACCCTGGGTTCGATCCTCAGCACCACATGAAAATAAATAAATAAAAATAAAGATTAAAAAAAAAAAGAAGAGAGATTCAGGACATGGGAAAGAAAATGTGATTGAATTAGTGAAGTTTTTGATGGATGTGGAAGGAAAGAGCAAAGACAGGTTAATTTGCCTAAGGAGGAAGAGCTCTTTCCCTCAGATGCTGGAGAGGAGGACAGAGGGCTGTTGATAAGTCTCAGAATGGTACAGTTAGAGCATTTTTGGTGTCTCCTGCATTAACTGCCCTCAATTTTACCTCAAAAGGAGGAGTTACGGTTCATACTGAAAGTGAGGGAAAGAATGGTGGGAAAATGAGGTGAGACATTTTGGAATGACAGTTGTGTGAAATGGATATAAGGTCATGGAGGAATTTCACATGCTCATCAATGTTCATTCTCACATTAAAATATGTATTAATCATGGGCTCTGATGAAGTGGCTCTCGGTGTGGGGTCACATGAGCTGAATCTTTGGTATGATTTTCCTTAAAAGTAACCTGAGGTAGGAATTATGAAGTCTTTTCAATTCACTCAGAGTTAGTGGTTTTTTTGTTCAAATGTGATGAAAGAACAGTTTAGCAAAGGAGTTTGAGATTTGAGCTAGAGAGTGGCTAAAAAGTGAAAGAATAGGGAGTCTGAATTAGAGAACCCAAAGTTTAAAGGAATTTTCTAGGGTGTGGCCATCTCCTGGGGTAGTGACTGGGAGAGAGTGAAAAAACTGGTTAGATCCATAGATAAAGTTAGATTGGAGGCTGAGGGAAAGACCTTTTGTTTTACAGGCAGCAGTTCTGATAAAACATAATCCACAGGACCATGGGAATGGGTAGCTGAAGAGGCATAGAGTTAGAGTCATCCGAGAAGCTGGAAGTTGAAAACATGGACTCAGGAGTCTAACTGTCGAGGTCCTAAGCTGCCTGCCCTTGTTTTAGTTATATGATCCTGGGCAAGTTCTTAACTGCACCAAGCATCTGTTGCTTACTAAAATGGGGATGATAGTGGTGCGCCTTACTTTAGTTTTGTGCTGAGATTGAATGAGATAATTTAGATAAAGTATTTGTTCAATTTCTCAAACAACTCAGGTGCTCAGAAAATTTCAGTAGTACTTGTATTATTATTGCTAGTCCCTATTTGTCATTTAGATCYCAGCTTGTACATCACTTTCTAAGAGAGACCCTTTCCCATCACCCTATGGAATACAGACCTCTTCAGGTAACTCTCTATCATATTTTAGTAACTAGTACTATTTACTGTTGTAATTTAGCTGTTGGTGTTAAGTACCTCCCCAGTTTATTGTTAGCTTCTTTGATATTAAAACCACTTCTAATCCATTTTTCTATAAATCATGTGTCTGAGCCAGTGATCAGGGCTAATGGATTGAAACCTAAAGATTCTGCTGTTGGACCAAAAGAACTTTGTAAATGTTTCAAGTCTGTTTATTTGTCAGATTCTTAGTACAATGAAGATGAAATTTACTGTTTATTCAACCCACAGCATCATCTTAGCCAATTAGTCTGATATTGGGTATAATGATCCTCCTTCCAAGTACTTGTTTAAAAAAAAAATAATAGTTCCACCTATCTTTTGATATGGAATCACTTGATTGCCATTTGTTAATTAAGTTGATTTCAAGAATATTGGTAAAACTTTTAGAAAAAGGGCAAAAGGTAAACCACTATTACTAGGATTTTCTGATCTCATTTTAGAATTTTCCACACAAACAAGTGCATGCTTCTCAGTTTACTGTTTTGTTTGGGTGGACAAAGGAGTGACTCATCTCTTCCAGTCTGTGTTTAGCTAACTGAGCAAATGCAAACTAGTTGATCAGAAATGAGCTTTGTTTTCGAGGCATTATTCTGTCTAACATTTTGCCATAATGTCAAACCATGACTTTAATGATAGGGAATTTATATTTAACTTTATTTGAGCCACTGATCATGGGTAATATTCTGCAGTTGAGCCAGAATAATTTTGTAAATTTCCTAGTTTGTTCATTTTTAGTGCCTTAGTACAGTGTAGGTGATACTTATTATACTACAGCTTCGTGTTAGCCTTTGGATTCCATTTTTATTTGAATACATGACCTTTTTAGGTTAGTTTTGTTGTTCTAGGTATTTGGAAACTCAGGATCAGGAAGGATAGCTCCTGTGACACATTGTAAATATTTGACTTTGAATTTGTCATTTTCTTATAATGCTTTAGAACAGTGGTTTAATGTTAATGATCATAACATTCTTTTACTTCTATAAAAGCAATAGCCTCTCATTTTTTGAACTTAAAATAAACATTTACTTATTTACTTATTCTCACATTAAAATGTTTTACTTATGATGATTTAATAGAATTTCTAAATATATTAATGACCACCCTTGTTTTAAGAAGGCTAGATTTTAAGATTTGTTTCTTGATTAGAGAAATATCTCAAATAAATTTAAATTGTTTAAAAATCTATACTGTACTTCATGTTAGCCTGGGGTAAGTATTTCAACTTATGTCAGTTTAACTAGAAATAATCTAYCTATAAACACTTTATTGGGAATCTTTCAAATGAATTTTTAACTCTAGTGGCATCTATTATAGATACTTCTGTCATCAATGCTCATTTTATCGTTACTGAGTTTTACTTTATTATAGTAAAATTTTATGTGCTGCCAGAAAGTGAAATGTTACATGATTGCTTCTAATAACCTTCTAATAATCTGACAGCATTTTAAATCACTGACATTTTCTTCATTTGAACAATATACTAGGTTTTTACTGAAATAACACATATTGTTTTTCTCAACAGTGGCTTCTATTTTAGTGACAATTGAAAAATATATATATTTTACCTTTTTGGAAAATAGTCTACAAAAGAGATAATATTTTGATAAAAATTATTTCCAGTTAATGGATCATAAAATACAGAGAAAAGGATTCATATTTTCTAAATTGATTGCTAACAAAATTCAATACTAATGATTTCCATTTCAGTGACATTAGAGATTGTCATTGCATTTTGTGTTACACATCGAGTTTTGACAAGAATTTACTTTTAATATTTCATATGCTTTATTCCTAGAATTTAACACATGAGTTGGAGAACAGGGAAAAACAACAACTACAGATGTTGGATCAACTCAAGGAAATCCAGAACCACTTTGAAGTATGTGAGGCTGACCGTAAACAGGCCAACTTCCAGATCTCAGAGCTGACTCAACATGCAGAGGAAGCCACCAAGCAGGCGGAGCAGTACCTCAGTGACTTGCAGCAATCAGAGGCCCTGAGAGAGGAGGCAGAGAAGAGGAAGGAATACCTCAAATTGAAAGCTCAAGAAACCATTAGGCAATGGAAGCTTAAGCATAAGAAATTAGAGCGGGCATTGGAAAAACAATCTGAAACTCTTGATCAGCTGACAGACAGGAATAATCAGGTATAAAAGCCAATTCTTCAGGAATGATTTCTGCTGTAACTAACCAGTTGTTCATCTATCTTTTGAGCTGACACTTGAGTGCTGTGTTGTGCATACACTGTTATCAATATGTCCTTGAGAGAAGAGTTTTTATGTTTTGTGTGTTTCAAAGCCAAAAGTTCTTCAGTTTATTTTCTTAAAATCCTCTTTAATAGTTAAACATTCAGGGATTTACAGAGTTAGCCATTAAAGTAGATCCACCCTCTACCTCTGTTTAGCTTTAATTTCCCTAATATGAATTATTCTTTAGTATTCTAATATTCAAATGGAAGAAAATCTTCAAATATTCCTTAATTTTTCATATGACTTTTCCCTCAGTCCATGTGTTTTAAAAATCTCATTTATTTGAATATTTCAGCTTGAGATTTGACTAGAAAGAGGCATTTTAAATATGCAGTAGTTACTATGGGGCTACTTCTTGGCAGCGGCWATTATAGGCTTAGTTAAATCAGTGACATTGACAGTCTCACTGAGTAGTGTTACCACATCACAAGTCTCTTCAACATTCTGTGTTTATATCCTTTTCTTAGTAACAAAAAAGCATTTTACTTATCTGTGCCTGCATTTCACATCATCTTTTCTCTTGTATAATCAATTGCTTTGAATGGATTTGATATTACTATGTTGATTCTCAACTAAATCWTGGGTTGAATTAAATTCAGATGCTTATAAGATAATAAGCAGGAAAGTCATGATTGATTTTTGTACATGTTTAGTCTTGGTTTATCATTTGTCATTTGTCACTTGTCAAGAACTCAGAATATTCCAGAAAAATAATTATTTGGATAAGTTGACTTTTTTTAATAAGAAAAACAATTGGACAATTTTATTTATAAAATCAATTAACAGCACTTAAGATTGATAGATGCTTACTTCAGATCATATAGAAGATGGAGGGAGCCATCACTCTGCATTCACTGTGGAGAGCTTTTCATTTTAACCCATCTGACACAAACCGAGTGACTGGTTGCCCTGAGATAAAGCAGATCTTAAGCTCAGACTTGAATCCAAACTAGTTTGATCCCAGGAAATTGCTCAACTTTGATTTTTCAGTTGTTATACTGGTCTTGCAACTGGTTCAGTAAGTTCCATTATAAGGGAAGTAGCTAGAGAGATGAGTGATTGAGGAGATTTGATTGAGAATCATCTGGGGATTTTACTTAATTAGAGGAAATTGAGAAGGACCCATGTCATCAGACAGTGTCCCARTTCATGGGAAGGTGCTGAGAGTTTTCTAGATTGAGTTTTTAGAATATTAAAAATGTTAAACAATCCTGATATAATTAGTTTTCTTACTTAGCATTGCTAATAATAAGCAAAGAAGTAGTTTTAAAGTGATTGCCATAGTTAGGATAGTATCACAATTATCACAGCAGGCATTGTAATTTGTCCTTTAAAAGCCTTAAAAATTAATGCAGCATGTTGCAGTTAGAGCAATGGTTAATTAAAGAAGAAAGGGTAAGAAATGCTTCACTGTGGATTCAAGTGTCCAGTAAATCTATGATGTAGTAATATGTGTTAAATAATTTTGGAAAAAAGTATTTTTAAAAAAATATCTAATTGACTATTACTTCTCTGGAATATTTAATATTTTTTAACGGTCCTGGGAGTTGAACCCAGGACTTCATGTGTGGAGGCAAGTTCTACCACCGAGCTACACTCTGATTCTTTTTATTTCTACTTTTGAGACAGGGTCTCACTAAGTTATCCAGGTTGGCCTTGAATGCTATTCTCCTGCCTCAGCAACTTGAATAGCTTGGATCAACAAGTGTGTGCTAACATACCCAGCTAGAAATATTTAATTCTTAATAAACTCACAACATTACCATAGATGTAAGTAATAGGATCCACTATCCACTATTTTTTTGGCCAATTACTTTCAAAAGATGACTCCATGGTGTATTTAGAAGTGTATATTAAAATAAAAATGATACTAGTTTATAACATAACATCTGTGATTTAAAGAATAAATYAGTTACAAGTAGCCTTGTTGACCCACTTTATATGGTCAAATGGTACAATCTTTATATTTGCAAAATGATTCTGTGCCTATATCCATTTCTCATTTTGTAGCATAATTTATTTTCTACTTTAAGCTTTCTCACTTAAAAATAATATTAAAAAGCCAAATTCTTTTATTTTCTTCAAATTCTTCTGAGTTTTTTTACTCTCCTTGCTTTATACATTTCTGGAAACTTGTTAAGATATTACAAATCTACTTGATTATTGGAAGATATGTAATATCAAATGAATAGCATGTCATTTTATAATAAACCAGAAAGATCAAGTTGTATTCTTTTTTTTAAGGATAGTGGTAGGGATATTTTTACATCATGGAATCACAGTGTACATAGGAAGATGCAGATGAGCATATATTGGGAGACCCAAAATTGTGTAGATATAAATAATCTAATTGTTTTCAATTTTGATATTTTTCTCCTTTTTTAAAAAAAGTGCTGTTTGAAATAATTGGTTTTTATATATGCATTGAAAATGATAATGAAAAAATTTACACTTTAACTCTAACCCTAGTGTGTGCTTTTCTGAATATCTCTAAGTTCTTTTATATTCTTTTTTTTGAACACAGGTATGAATGATTTCCTAGGTTTTCTCCCTTTATGTTTTTTTTTCTTTTTTTCTGCTACATCTGCAAAATTAATTGGTTTGACTAGGTATTTTGCTTGATAGTATTAGACTTTAGGAATCTTAAATTAGCATTTTTTTGTATTTCTCTCCTGCCGAGAAAAAAGTTATATCTTATATAGGCTGTCATGTAAAAATCTGAATTTTAAAAATAGTTTAATAGGAATCAATGCTGAAGTATAGTTCTTTTTTAGTTTGTATGCCATCCTGTCATATGCAATTCAAGAAAGGCCAGAATGCTGATTTTCTGTATTTTTTCATGTGCAGAAAAAAATAATAAAAAAACTTCCTATTTACCTTTTAGTAAAGTTAAGACATCTTTCTGTATTTTGTGGTCTGGCCTTCCAGGAGTTGGCCCTTCATCTAGTAATTGCTATGGATTTAGATAGTATCATTCTTCTGGCTTTACACAACCATTTTCAGGCTTTCCGTCTGTAATCTTTCTTTTTGCCCCTCTTTGGAAGTTGGATTTGTCTGTTTTAATAAGCTTTTTTTTTTTTTTTTTTGCCACTATGACTACAAGTCCCCACCAGCACAATTGTAAAGGTGGAAAAGTTTATTTGGAGGCTCACAGTTTCAGAGGTCTCAGTCCATTGACAACAGGCTTCCTTCCTTGGGGCTTGAGGTGAGGCTGAACTTCTTGGCAGAAGAGTGCAGCAGAGGGAATAGCAGCTTMCCTGATGATCGGAAAGCAGAGATCTCCACTTGCCAGATACAAATATATACCCCAAAGCTATGCCTCCAAATCCCCACCTCCTCCAGCCACCCCTCCCCCTCCTTACCTTTAGTCACTACTCAATTAATCCCTTCAAGTGATTACTTCCCTGCTTGGGTTAAGGTTCTTATAACCTAGTCCTTTCTCTAACCCATCTTGGATTGTCTCACACATGAGCTTTTTTGAGGACTCCTCACATCGAAACCATAACAATCTGATTAGAACATCCTTTTCCCACATTCCTTACTGGTATTTTTCTTCCCCATTACATCTCCAAAATTTTCAAGAAGTTTAACACCTGGCTTCCTCTCAGCTTGTTTCAGTACATGTAATTCTTGCTGTCATCCTTAGTGATTCAAAGTTCAACTCAGCAGTTCATTGAACTCTGTATCCTTATTCTTTACTACTGAATTTCCCATTTTACAGTGACCTTCAATTCACTCTACTTTTGCAACCAATTTCTGCACTTTAGACTTGTATTCATCTGTAATTGTTCTATGTTCAAACCTTCAATTTCAAAATCTCAGTCTCTGACCTTTCAGTTCTTTTATTTCTCTTTTCTTTTTTAATCATTAATACCTGGTTTTGGTCTTTCCACATTCTTCTAGTTGACCAGCCAGTTCCTGCATTCAGTTCTTCTGTCAAATTTGGCTTAATTAGAAGCTGCTTTTTTTTCACTAGCATCTTCAATTTCTTTCTTCTACCTCATACATTTTACTTATCTTCAATCTGAGTACCAACAAAATTTGTCTTGAAATAGCACTTGGCTGGGGATGTAGCTCAGTGGTAGAATGCTTACCTAGAATAGTGTATGTGAAAGCYTTGGGTGCCATCTCTGGCACTGGATCATTACCTTCTTCATTTCCCATTACATTTCATTCAGTAATTAATATAAGTCAATCAGTGGGCACACATTTCTGACCTGATCATTGAGGAATGGGGCCAAAAGTCTGTTTGGGAATTCATGGTAAGCACTTACTTAAAAGCCTATAAAGTTTACACAAGAAGAGGGGGTTTCTTCTTTCTCTATACTGTGTCCTTTAGGTCTGGAATGGCTGAAGCTATCCTGCTGCCATCCTGAGGATGAAGCCTCAGATGAGAAGGGTATTAATGAGAGAGCTACAGGGGGGTAGAGCTAGGACTTTGACCTACTGCTTCCAGTTCTTTTTGGAGTAATACATCTCATTGTTGTTTAAGCCAGTTTGAATTGGAGTCTCCTTTTATTTTSACCAAAAGAAATTCAAGCAGCATTAAAATTTTAAAATTTGAATTTCAGAAATGAGGAACCATCAATAAAAGAGCCTGAATTGTAGCATTGACTAAGTGTAAATTTAGGGTGGTGGGAAGCTGTTTTTGTTTTAAAGGGCAAGTGGATAAACCTTGCTACACTGTTGAGAACAGTTCAGTGAGCCATTGGAATCATACTTTTTGGGACATTGATGATGTGAATCAGAATATGGCATTAAGTGACTGGTGGGAAAACTTTAGGATGTTGAAGGATGTTATGTTCATGTTTTCAGCCTTCAGAAAGGTCTTGCAAGAAAAAGACAAATTTAGGTTGAAACTTGTCTGTCTAAAAACAGCAAGATTGTTTTGGATTGAGTAATCTAAAGTGTGCATTCTATAATTCAAGTTGACTTTAACTGCTGATTCAGAGCCTTTGAGGGTTGGGAAAGCTAAGTGATCTACCTAACCTTAGTCCAAGTGGAGATAGGAAATTTAGCAGGGAAAAGACAAAACAAACAAACAAACRAACGAACAAACAAAAAAAMMCCCCAAAACAAAAAAACAACAACAAAAAAGACTTTTCCTTGCATTCCTGGCCAGCCAAAGGGCACTCAAGTCCATTGTTTTGAACTGCCTCAAGATAAAGGGGTTTTTCAACTAAGGGTCCTGGAAGTGTCCAGGATACTGAGGTGGTGGTAGAGATGTTGACATTTTCATACTCAGCATCTGAACAATATCTTGGGCTGTGGCCTTTAGCCTAGTAATTAACATCAAGTCAAAGGATTTTCACACTTTACCTGTAGTAGCTCTCCAGCCTAAGGCTGTCATCTTTGTCATGAATTGATATGATACTTGAACACTGGGAAGAGGGTAAAACCTAGAGAAGTATAGAGTTAGCAGAGTCTGAGTTTCAAAGAACTTTTTAGGAATCGTCCTATTTCAGGGCTTCCTACTATGTGAGAAAAGTATACTTTCTGTGTAAACTAACTTCAGGAGACCATAATATTTTGTAATCAAATATGTTTTACCTGATAGAACTTCATCATGAAAAAACAATTTTAATCTGTAGAACTGCCTGGAAGTTTCTTTACTCATGATTAGCGGGTTATATTCTRTTCCAAATGCTAATCACTATATTTAAGCCACCTCCTCTCACTTTTAGGCTCCTCTCCTGTTATTCTTTTTTTTTWAAAGATAATAGTATTATTTTATTAGTGTATGTTTATTTTTTAATTTTTAAATATATGACAGCAGAATACATTATAATTCTTATTGCACATATAGAGCACAATTTTTCATATCTCTGGTTGTATACGGAGTATATTCACACAAATTCATGTTTTCATAATGTACTTTGGATAATAGTGATCATCACATTCCACCATCATTTCTAATCCCATACCCCCTCCCTTCCCCTCCAACCCCTCTTCCCCATCTAGAGTTCATCTATTCCTCCCATGCTCCCTCTCCTTATTCCACTATGAATCAGCCTCCTTATATCAGAGAAAACATTGGGCATTTGTTTTTTTGGGATTGGATAACTTCACTTAGCATTATCTTTTCTAACTCCATCCATTTACCTGAAATGCCATGATTTTATTCTCTGAGTAAATGTTTTCTCGGTGAGTAAATATTCCATTGTGTATATATGCCACATTTTTTCATCCATTCACCTACTGRAGGGCATCCAGGTTGGTTCCACAGTTTAGCTATTGTGAATTGTGCTGCTATAAACATTGATGTGGCTGTGTCCCTGTAGTATGCTGTTTTTAAGTCCTTTGGGTATAGACCCAATTTTCCAAGAAATCTCCATACTGCTTTCCATTTTGGCTACACCAGTTTGTAGCTGCACCAGCAGTGTATGAGTGTACCTTCTCCCCCACATCCTTGCCAACACTTATTATTGTTTGTATGCATAGTAGCTGCCATTTTGACTGGAGTGAGTTGAAATCTTAGAGTAGTTTTGATTTGCATTTCTCTAATTGCTAGCGATGATGGACATTTTTTCATATATTTGTTGATTGATTGTATATCATCGTCTGAGAAGTGTCTGTTCAGGTCCTTGGCCCATTTATTGATTGGATCATTTGGGGTTTTTTTTGGTGTTTAACTTTTTGAATTCTTTATGTACCATAGAGATTAGTGCTGTATCTGTGTGAGGGGCAAAGATTTGCTCCCAAGATGTAGGCTCTCTATTCACCTCACAGATTGTTTCTGTTGCTGAAAAGAAACTTTTTTAGTTTGAGTCCATTCGATTTATTGATTCTTGATTTTAATTCTTGCACCTAAGGAGTCTTTCTCCTGTTATTTTTAAAGTCAGTTTTCATTTTCTTTGGTGGGGTAAGTAGAATGACCTTCCTGCCCCCAAAGATRTCTCAGTGTATTTCTTGGGATCTGTGAATTGATGCTACTCTCATGATTATATATGGCACAGTTCAGTTGAAGATAAGGACATTACCTAGATGGCCCTAAACTAATCACATGAACCTTGTCTTTTTTTTTTTTCTACTATAATAGATTGTCACAGAATAGGTAACTGATAAATAGTATAGTTTATTTGACTTATGGTTGTGAAGGCTGGCAAATCTAAGAACATGGCACTGGCATGTGGTGACCTTTGTTCAGTGTCCTAACAAGGTGGAAGGGTAAGCAAACATGAGACAGAGATTCTGACTGAACCCACATTTATAAGAAATCTAGTATTGAGATACCTAACCCACTCCTGTGATAGTAATATTAATCAATTATGACACCAGAACCCTGATTTAATCATCTCTTAAAGATACTAACTCTTAAGATGACAATTAAAATTTTTATGCGTTTTGGAAGAGATAGTAAAATCATAGCATTTCTTCACATAGCACAAACCCATGTGCTTCTCACATGTAAAATAGATTAATTCCAATCCAAAAGGCTTTCATCTCTTAATTTGTTCTGGTGTCAACTAAAAAGTCCAAAGTACAGAGTCTTATGTATATCAGATATGGTATGGGTAAGATTCAAGACACAATTCATCCTTAGACAAATTTCTTCCAGCTATGAGCCTATGAAATGAAAACAAATTTGTCTATTTGAAATACAGTGGTAGTATAGGCATGGATAGAAAGTCCTGTTCCAAAAAGGAGAAATAGGTAAGAGAAGAAGGGTAACTGGTCCCAAGTAAGTCCAAAACTCAACAGAGAAAAACTTGGTAAGTTTTAAAGCTGGAGAATAATTATTCACTCTGTGTGCTGCCTCTTAGACACTTTGGGAGGTTTGGACCCCTGAAGCTTCTGGCAGCCTTGCCTCTGTGGCTTTGCATGCTGGTAGCTCATCATTTCTGAGAGTCTCAAGGGTATTCCTGTCTCATGGCTTCCCTGCCTCAATGTTTTGCAGCTTAGATATTTCTTTTGCCAAGTATCCTAGTTCATCACTTCTCTTTCTGCCTTGCATAAGGCCCTAGGGCATAGAAACAGAGTAATCTAGGCTTTTTCTATCCTGCTTCTCCAATTTTTCAGCCTTTATTCATTAGTCAGTTTCAAAACTACTTCCAAATTTTTCATGTGTGTATTACAGTAGCAGCCTTACCTTTTGGTCTCMATTTTTCTGTCTTTGTCTATTTTCTGCTGTTGTAACAGAGTATCACGGACTGGGTAATTTATACACAATAGAAGTTTATTTAGCTCAGAGTTCTGGAGACTGGGAAGTCCAAGGAGCAGGGCATTGGCATCTGGGGAGTGCCTTTGTGCTACATCATAGCACAAAGTAACTATTGATTCTATGAGGGAGGATAAATGACTTTTTTTTCTTCAAATCTATAGACTATTAATAGCTAGACTTCAAGTTCAGTTTTTTTCTGCTCAGAACTAACTACTTAATCACTTTTTTATTTCTCATGTTAGTTTTGTGTTCTTTCTTTCTCCCTGTTTAAATTGAATATGTACTTAAGGAAACTACTTTTTTTTTGAATGATTGACTCATTATGTTTTATGATTAATTGTTTTGTATCGAAGTGTATTATAGAAGTGCCTTTCACATATTTGCATTTTAATTTACTATTTTTGATTTTATAATGAGTATTAACTTTATTTTCTGGTTCAAGACATAGTGGATTCACATGTCAAAACATCACATTGCCCTTCTTAAATACGTGCAATATTTGTCAGCCAAAAATAAAACTTAAAAAAAGGAAAAGGTTTGGTGAGCATCAGTAAGCAAGGACAGACTTGGAGAGATGGTCTTTGGAGCCAGTATAGTAGAGACAACACTCTTGGCTTCATTGGTGACCTGCTTTTTCATTTGCATTGATTGGGTAGTGAGAATTAGAGACCATGATGATTAATTCTTAGCCTCTATTCCTTCATGTAATCCCTAACTGGTGAAGCTGGCAGGGGATAAATAAACAACTAAGTTAGCAACCTTTCTCTTGAGAATCATCCCTACATACTTGAATCATAAATTAATCTCATTAATCTCATTTCATCCTTTTGTGACTCCCAGTTGTATATTGGTGTATTTCTTGTCAGTATTGACACTGATTTATTAATTGGGGCTTATTACATCGTAAACTTTCTTAAATTTTATTTGTATACTTCCCTATATTCTATCTCTGTGTCAAATATATCTCTTTTCAAAGGTGTGTCATTTTTGAGCACTTTATTGTTATGTTAGGAAATATTATTTTCATCTCTAATAAATCATAATAGGAGTTTGTTCTTTCCCCATTTCTTTGCTCAATTTATCTTACACTTAAGTATTTGTGATCATGGATTAATATATTTTGATAATGAAAATCTGAAATAACATGTTTCAGTATGCGACTGTTTCAGGATAATTATATATCCTCCCCTTTTCTAGCCTAAAAATAATTTTCATTAAAAATGACTTTTTAAAATGAATTTTTCTTATTCTTATAAACTTTTTTACCTGACAGTCTATGGTGAATTTTATAGTAACTTGTTTTGTTTTACATTCTTAACCCATCAGATTCTAAAAGAAAAAGATGAATTGAAAAGTCAGCTTTATGCAGCATTACAACAGGTAGAGAATCTTAGAAAGGAGTTGAATGAGGTCTTAACCAAGCGAGCCCTTCAAGAGGAAGAGCTTCGCTCTAAGGAGAAGAAACTAAATGATGTTAAGTCTCATCAAGCTGAGCTTGAGATGGAAGTCAAGAATTCCCTGGACAGCATTCATAGACTAGAAGGTGAATTGAAAAAGCAGAATAAGAGTCATAGTCAGATAAAAATTGAGAAGGCTCACCTGGAGGAAGAAATTGCAGAGCTAAAGAAGAGCCAGGCCCAGGACAAAGATAGACTTCTTGAGATGCAGGAGTCCATCAAGAATTTGAGTGCCATTCGAGCAGATCTGGCTAATAAATTGGCTGAGGAAGAKAAAGCCAAAAAAGCAGTGCTTAAGGATCTTGCTGACCTCACAGCCCAATCAAAATCCAGGGATGATGAAACAGCTACCATCATTACACAGTTAAAGCTAGAACGAGACGTTCACCAAAGGGAGCTGGCAGATCTCACATCATCACTGCAGAGTGTGAAAACGAAACATGAGCAAAACATCCAGGAGCTGATGAAGCACTTTAAGAAGGAAAAGAGTGAAGCAGAGAATCATATTAGGACATTAAAGGTACCTTTCTGAATTATCTTGGTAATACTGAAGGAATTTATTGTGGTGACTCATGAAGTTAATAAAGCATAAACTTTTAGAGATCATTCTGTATTCCCAAGCACTGAAGGGAARATAAAACCAACAATAAAGAGGTTTATTCATGCCTGTTTGGCCAGGTTGAAATGACCTATAGCAGCCAACTGGGAGTACTTATTTTAGAGTATTGAAACCCTTCTAAAAGAACAGTTAGCTATTTTGGGATTTCAGGAAAAGTAGAGGTGGCAGTAAGTGGTAGACCTGAAACGTGCCCTCATTCAACATTTATTACCTCCTAAAATATAAAAGGCAAAGACTTGTCAAGGCCATAGATGCTGTAACCACGGTTCTTATTAGTATGGTAACTAAAGTGGATCAGCTTATGGGCTGTGTAAAACAAAGACTTTTGAGATTTACCCTTTCTGTTCCAAATCAAAGTTGCCGAGATAAATTCCTAATTGAGACCTTGCATTTATTTAGAGGACTGTTTCTAAGGTGCTATGGCATTTGTTATCACTGTTCAGGGCAATCATTTGATATCATGATTGTCAGGAATGTGATAAATCTATCCAAGTTCCCTAATCTATTTTTTTCTCTATAGTACTTATTATTACATAATACAGGTTACATACTACATATTTATTTTTCTTATTCTCCCTTTATTAGAATGAAAACTCCATGAGGACTGGGATTTGAGTCTGTTGTATTTATAGCTATAACTCCAATGCCTCAAATAGTTCTGGAACCTTGTAAATACTGTTAAATAGATAAATGAATAGATAAATATTTAGAGGTTAGTTATATTTTTTAAAAAAGTTTTTGTCTTTAAAGTTTACTACTTTAAAAATATTTAAACTGCAAGATGAAATTATATTGAAGTAGCTGACATTTGTAGAATGCTATACCTATTTAATGGATTCTTTCCCTGTCCTGTGTAGCCTTATGACAATAGTGGATTTAGGGTCATTGGGTTAGGTAGATCAGAACAGAGACTGGAAGAGTAGGGAGGAGATCCTTATTATAGTTCACTGTTTCTAAGAAGCATCAATTTTAAGATGCATCATTGCTTAATCTACTAAGAAAAATACTGCCTTCTGCCTATGAARCTAAGACATACTATCAACTATAAAACAATCCAAACCAGAGATAATTAAAATGTGAAAAATGTTTTAATATTGATTAAATATGGTATGGTATAATATTTATCCTTCAGAGTTGACAAAGGTATAAACAAAAGTAGAATATGGGATATGAAAAGGAACTGATCTAAAAGAAAATAAACTATATTATATGTTAATTGGTTGACTGGGACTATAATAAACTACTAGTAAACATTTTTGCAACAAACTATATCAGAGACTGCTATTATTCATGTAATATTGACATCATCCCCATACATTGTGTGGTATTATTTTCTCCCTGAGGAGGAAATTGTGATTTGAGAATTTTAAGTAACTTGCCTAAAGACTTACTGCTGGAATTTGGTATAGATAGGACTTAAACCTATGTGGTCAAATGCCTGAGTTCTTAATTATTTTTATTCCTGGAAAGGTTTAGATTCAAGGATGACTAATTAATGACTCTGGTGACTAGGTAGGTAATGATGCTGTTTGCCAACATAGAAAATATAGAAAGAACAGATTTGGAGAGAAGGGTGGCAAATCTAGTTTTTAGCATATTGAGTTAGATGGGAGGGACTTTAAGAATAACCATGAACATCCTGGTACAGCAGTTTGGTAAATAATGAATGAGTCAGGAGTTGAGGGAGAAATTGAGATTAGAGTGAAATATTTTGGAACCAGTAATGTGTTGTGGCAGTTGAAATTATGGCATTTGGATATTAAATGTAAGAGACAAACTAAAAGAAGTAAAAATGTTGACATTCCATTTAGCAGAGGTTGACAGAAAAAGTCCACGGTAGATGTGAGGGAACTGGCTAAAACACAGAGTGAACAGCACTCAATAGAGACCCGGCATCTTTTTATCTGAAGGAAAAGATGAAGGAAGCCAGTAAGATTGGGACACTTAATAGAGGTGGTCTTGGGAGTTGAAGAGACTGAAATTCTCTTTCTTGTCTCTGAAGTAGAATAGGGCAGTGATGGGAGGAATTTATGAGCAGTGAAGACAAAAACTGCTGTGAAGACGGATCAACTGCTTGAGACTAGGCTGGGGCGTGAAAGTACTGCTACATGGTTGAAACTTAAGGAAAAGTATCCTTGGCAAAGGAATAAGGGATGCAAATCTATGATGATAGGTTGTTTATTCAGTTAGTTATACTGGAGTGCCCATTTTCAGAGTAGTAGTTGCTTATAGACTTACTGTTATTTAGGTTGTATAATAACCTATATGTTACTAACCAGGAGGTAGTAATTTATCAAATTAGAGCAAGTTCAGGATTATTTCTATAAGAACATAATTCTCACATTCAGATATGCTTTCTTGAGTGAGAGATGAAGTATTGGTGGTACAGCCAGACACCTGACAGGATCTGAATATGTCATGTGTCATAGTGGAAAAAGGATATGGGCTGTTTAATTCAGATTACCTAGACATACCTCCAAGTTGCTTCTCTACTTTCACCTAGTTCCTCTTTTCACTCCCAACTTCTCCCTTGCAGCCCTCAGATACCTCCTAATTGTATTTTCTCAAATATGTATTTAAATRTATCACTTCTTACTCAAAAACCATGTTGACTATTTACTGTCTCTGGAACAAAGTCTCTACCTTAGTGCAGCCTTCCTTCCTGTGGCCCCACCTTACTTGTGCACATTAATGGCATTTTTATATTCCCCAATCTCTGCATAAAAATATATAACAGTATATATATATATATATATATATATATTCATTTCATTGCTTTTTCTCTATTTGGATTGGCCTTTCCACTGATCTGCAGGGGAAAAAATTTTGCCTAAATCTTTAAGGCCCAATTAGTTTTATACTTCTTTTATAGATGCACTAAAGTTGGAATAAATCTCAGCAGAGGCTGGGATAAATTGCTCAGTTCTCTTTATTTCATAGCTCTTCGTTGGTTTCTCCAGTGTAGCACATGGAGGCTGCCTTATATTTTGGTTTGCTGGTGTTCAGGTCTTTTTACCCACGTTCCTGTCTTATAGCATCTAGCACATATATAGCAAGATACTCAGTGGGTGTTGGGTTTAAATATTTGAAAAACTGAAAATCAGAGGATTKGTTCCCAATGTGTTCTGGGATCTACCTAGTTTGAATTTCCCCATGTAATATGGAGAAAACTGATTTTCTTGTCCTTTAAGAAATGCTTTGAATTCATTTAAAATACAACAACTAAAGCTTTTAAGAAATTTCTTCAGTGTTAAGAACTTATAATTTACATGTTTTCTGATCCTCTAGAACCTGTAAACATTTTTTGTTGTTTTAATTTGAAAGACTGAGGTCTGAATGGGGTGTTGTGCTGTTCCCTAATGTAGGACCAGAGATTGTGAGGSCCCAGTAGTATCAAAAAAGTTACCCTAAGGACTAGTCTCCACCTTAAGCTTTTTTTTTTTTTAATATAATACTACACTTTTACTTATGTATGATAAGTAAGAAAATGTTGACAGCAAAGATATTCACAGATTTAGTATACTAAATTATGAACAGTAGAATTTTAGACAAGTAGTTCTATAAATGTTACATTTTGTGTCCTTCAGCATCACATAATTTATTATTTTATCAGTATAATAAGCTCTGATACATTATTCATATTTTTCTCTGTACAAATTAGTTGTACTTTCCCCCTTCATGTAGAATCTCCTTTCTCATGCCTATTTTTATATTTAAATTTAAAGTGTTTTACTGACATGTTCTAATTGTTATGAACATTTTCAGGATATTGGACTATCATCTTGTTGTAATTTCAACAAAGTTATTTTATACAGCTTTTTATTGGAACCAAAAGATGCAGGATTGAAGTTCTATACTTTTATCTCTAGGCCATATGTTCTTAATCAAGTTACTTCACCTTTTTATGTCTTACCAACAAATCAGGAATAGTAAAATTCTTGCATATCACTGGATTGTTGTGAACACATCATTGTGTTGTAAATCCTAAAATTAAAAGTAATGAAAAATACAATAAGTTTTTAGTTTAATTAGGAATTGATGTGCTAATAAGTATGGAGAAGCATGTACTTCAGGGGGCAAAAATCGCTGGTTGGTAGAATTTGCCCAGCTCAGAGGTATAAATATCCCCATCTAGGTTGATTTCAAAGGAGACATCTCTGAACATGGGATAAGTTAGTGGAGGAGGAACACATTTGTCTTCTGAGAATCTGAGCTGGCTATAGCACATCACCAACCTTTGGGAGAAACCTTGTTTACCTATGCTTTTTATAGGACATAAGAAAAAAATAAAAGCATTCTACTGAAACTTAAAATTGTAATTGAACAATTTTCCTGATGAGAGACTTTATTTTGTAAATTTATTTTTGGGCTGTGATTATAGGCTTGCTCAAAAAAAAAAAAAAATCAATTCCCTAGTTAATTCAAAGTGGCATCAGGTCTTAGGTGAATTTTGTGAAATATAGATTCTGTCTAAAACTCACAAAACTTCTTCCTTTTAGGAAGTTGTTTCAATTATTATGTTCCTATACACCTAATTGAACACACATAATAAACTTATACAAGCAAAAGAAGCAGGTACATTTTAGGCATTAACACACATATTCTAAACATATTATATGCAGTTGCTTATAGATTCTTAGTAACTGTAGGTATGGCCAGTTAGCATTGAAAGTTGCACCCAGATGGCTTTTAAAAAACTTACGATATTGTTCCTTTTGAGTGGCAGAGTGATGGAGTAGTTGAAACACAAACATTAGAAAGAATTCCTGGTTCAAATCCTGGCTCTACATTTCCTCACTATTTACTTTGGGTAACTTACTAACTTTTTTTCTGCTTCAGCCTCAAACCAGGAGTCAACAAGGCAATAATTTTGTCTCCATGATTAGTTTTTGTGAGGGTGACATAAAGACAAACTGTACACAAAATGCCTTAGAGAAGTTTCTGACACCTGCTGTTTGCATTGTTATCTTAAGATTCTTTAGGTTTATATACTGGACCACTCTTGAATTCCATGTACAGAATAGATTATTCCTAATGTCTTTTTTTTTTTTGAGAGAGAGAATTTTTTTTTTAATATTTATTTTTTAGTTTTCGGTGGACACAACATCTTTTTATTTTTATGTGGTGCTGAGCATCGAAGCCAGCCCCCYGAGCATGCCAGGCGAGCGCGCTACTGCTTGAGCCACATCCCAGCCCCAATTATTCCTAATGTTTATTTTTTAAAACAATTTTGATTACATCCAAATACAGATTGATATTTTAATAATATCAATTTTTGCTACTTCAGACTGATTAGTTTCCTCAGCTGTAAAAGAAGCTTAGCATTCCTGCTCTAACTCCAGGATTTTATTATTTTACTTTTTTCAAACAATTTGGTCATAGCCAGTGGACTTTCTTTTCTTCTTCTTTTTGTCTTAGGCAGACATTTTACTACCCTRTTGGTGCTGAAATAAAGTCTTGCAGTATTAACTTTTAGTTTCTTGGCTATTATGATCTTTCTAGGCACCCAAGATTTATATGAATAATTGTATTGTATAGGAAGGACACAGTTATCTCCTAAAATCCTTGAGTTAGAAAGAACAGGAATGCTAAGCTTCTTTTACAGCTGAGAAAACTAATCACTCTGAAGTAGCATAGTATTTCCCTTCTGGGACAGTTCTCTAATAACTCCTACTCCTCAGCATTGGAGTTACTTCCTTGTGATTGCCATGTCCCCCAGCCCCTACTGTTATCATTTATTGTTGTCAGTGGATGATTGCCTCTGTCTTTTTCTCTGTTCATATCTGTTATCTTTAGTACTTAGTACAGTACTTGTCATTTGGTAAATACCTGCTATCTGGCGATGGGTCATTGAATAAATGCAAAGAACATTTCGTATGTGTTTATTTTAATTTCTTTGTATGAGTACTTTGAGAGAGCTAAARTTTTATTTTCCCACTGAAAATTGTGTTATTTATTTGAAACAATTTKGTCACAGCCAGTGGACTTTCTTTTCTCCTTCTTTTTGTCTTAGGCAGAAAACTTAGAAGATAAGAACATGGCTAAAGTCCATCGTTGTCAGCTAGAGAAGTTGAAATCACAGTGTGAGAAACTTACAGAGGAATTAACCCAGAATGAAAATGAGAACAAAAAACTGAAGCTAAAATACCAGTGTTTGAAGGACCAACTAGAAGAAAAGGTAAAAATATAAATAAATTCTAATGCAAAAGACATATTAATTTCATAATTTGTGTATACTATATTAAAAAATGTAATTGTAGTTTTTCATAGGAAGTTGTATTAGTGCCAGAAAAAAAAAATGACAAGTTTATTTGAATGCTGGGAGTTTTATTCTTTCAACCAGTCACCTTCTAATACATTTGATTTAAAAATAATCATGTATCTTAAAATAGCAGTTTAGATATAAGATGAATTGTGCTCTATATGTTTAATATGAATTATAATGCATTCTGCTGTCATATGTAAATATATTAAAAAAAAGAACTAGCAAAAAAAAGATAGGTCTGGTAAATTATTGAGGACTTTCTACATGTCAGGTGCTTTAACAAAATTCTGTAGACAGTTTACTTGAAAATAACAGATATTTGTATCTCATAGTTTGGGAGGCTGGGAAGTCCAAGATCAAGGCACTGGTAGATTCAATTCAAGGTGCATGTCTGATTTCTAGTTGGTGCCTTCATACAGTGTTCTATATTGCAGAAGTAGCAAGGGAGCTTTCTCGGTTCTCTTTTATAAGGGCATTAATCCTCATGAGGGTTAATGAAAGAAACAGAAAGCAAATTTAAATATTTTGTCTTCTGTGTTGATKTCTTGTCAGAAGATGACCTCAAAAAGTAGTGACTTCTACTTTTAATTCTAAAAATTCAGAGTATTCTACCCAACATGGTAGTACTTGAAATAAATTTACATATCATTAACCACCTTCATGACCTAATTACCCCTCAAAAGCCCCACCTCAAAATACCATCACATTGGAGACATGGTTCAACATATGGATTTGGGGGAGACACAAAACATTCAATCTGTAGGTGTTAGGGTTCTTTGATCCATGAGAAAACTAAGGTTCAAAATAAAGTATCTGTGGTTAAATGCTTTTTATGAGCTAATTCTCATAGTAATTTTTAAAATTGATAATATTCTGATTCTTATAGTTGTGGAGAGGGAAAGTTAAGGRGATTGTAACCTTTGGTACATCCCCGCATGTCTTTCTTCTCAGTAGATATGTAAATTTATTTCAAGTAACTACCATTTATGGCATGTTGGGTAGAATACTCAGGATTTTTAGAAGTCACTACTTTTGAGGCTGACTTCTGACAAGAAATCAACAATGAAGAGAAGACAAAATATTTAAATTTGCTTTCTGTTTCTTTCATCAACTTCCAAAAAGAATTTTCAGTGGAGTGTGACAGAAGTCAAATGTTAAAAAGATTGTTAAAGTACAGATAATGGAAAAAGGTGGTATAGACATGAGCTGAATGAATACTGTACTAGCTGAGGGTTGCATAAATCCACAAAGAAAGAACTGCCACTGGRTGGGCCATCATAAAAGTGTTCATTAACTTTTTAGGAAGAAACTTTCTTAATCCTTTGCYCTCCTTTCTTCTTTTTTAGTTTGTGATGTTTACCTAGTGTATATATTTGTGCATATATTAGTATGTGTATATTAATCCCAGTGATTGTTAAAACCAAGAATAAGTTAGATTGGAATTCATGGTTTAATGRGGCTCCTAACTTTCAACTTATAAGGTGGACAATAGCTGTCATCACTAAAAAAATATCTTAATTTGGAGCATTTTGGGTTTTAGAATTTTGGATTAGAGATGTTCAACCTGTGGTCAAGTCCTGAGAATGCATAGTAACATAGAGGAAAAATGACCACTGTATACTAAAATGTTATGTAATCTTAAAGACACAAACACACAAACACCAATATATATTACACACACACATACACATAAGTTGTTTCTCTGTCCTGTAGGGGATTGGTTCCAGTGTCTCCCAAGGATAGCCAAATCTGCAATTGCTCAAGTCTCTTATAAAAAGGTCATATAATATTTGTATTTAATTTATATATATCTTCCTGTATATTATGTCATCTCCACATTACTGAAATACAATGTAAATGCTATGTAAGTAGTTGTTATATGGTATTAGTTAGGGAGTAATGACCAAGGTAAAGTCTGTAAATTTTTGGTACACATTTTTTTTTTTTTCAATATATGGTCAGTTGAATCCTGGATTTGGAGGATATGGAGGGCGGATTGTACACCTTATTTTTCTTCAATATTTATTTTGGTTTTAAATGATCATGCTTTTGATTGATTTAACTGTTTTTGCCCATATCTTAGTATGAATAGGTGTGAATCAAAATTTTAATGGATTGTGTCATCTACAGACAGAGCCTTTTTCTTTGAGAGGTAGCATAGCATTAGTTATTATAGCAAAATGGTGAATTTGCATCCTTTTCTAGTGTGGCTTTAGTTAAGTTGCCTAAACATTAATGCCTCAGTTTTTATCAACCTTTAACATTATAATAATTCCTTTATTTTAAGATTAAATGTGAAAATGTAAGCAAAGTACTTGGCCCATTTTCTGGTATCTAATATATCAGTTATTGGTAGCTGCTATTATTGTGTTTTCAAGTATTTACCGATTAATGATTCAACCCAGCAATCAACTGCCTGTGATCTACACAATAATGTGAAAATAATCATAATGGCAATAATATGCCTGTGGTCTACCTAATTATAAAACCATAGAACTGTGCAGATGAGAGGTTTAGAACCAGACTGTATTGAATCATTTGAGACAGATGTTCCACAAAGGAAGCACCCATGTGAAAATAACTGGCAGTTCTATCAACAAGTGATTTTTGAAGGCGTGTGATAAAGAAACCAAACAGGTGGGCAGTTTTATAGTAATGCTTGCAAATGGAGGAGAGAAATCACATCCTTGTATTTTTTTCCATCTCTAAGATAAGGCATAGAACCTGAGACATAGCAAATAATTTATAGTTAAATTGAAGAGATTCAGGTAAATGTGTATGCACACAAACATATACAAATACAATCACATGTGCACGTGCTGGGTAAGGGGCCCAGACTAGGGAAAATAAAATAAGGCAAATTAAGTTTTCAGTGAAGGAAAGCCCAATGAACTAATAGACCAAAGATCTCTGTTTAAGCAATGTAGTAAACTTGAAAAATGGGTCAAAGGGGATTAACAATGTGGCTCTACTGTAATCAAAAGGAAACTTTGTTTTCCTCATAAAATGATATTCTTGCTTGTCCATTTTCAATATAAATACATGAGTTACTAGACATGCACAATGTTTCTAAAAAATTCATGTTATTTTAACTGTATGCTTTGTTTTAGGCTGTTTCTAGTCTTATTATTACTTTGATAAACTTAGAAGTGTTAAAACTACATGAAAGTTCATATAAAGTGTTAGCACCAGTGCCAGCATCAATCAGTGGTAGAAGATTGCCATTAGTATATTTGGACAAAATAACTAACTTTGGCATATTTTCCTCGTATATTCAATGGTAATCTGTGGTAATACAATGAATTTTTTTTAACATTTGATTTTGCTTTGTCAAATGTTATTTTCCAATTTTACATGACAAAGAGAACAAGTATTTTGCAGAACTTTTATATATGCATTTAAGACTTTATTAAGAGCTTCTTACCAGGGAAGAATCACTCCTGAACTGTTAGACAAATGAAACTATAGTATCATTAAAATTAATTATTTCCTTTGTTTAAATTTCGTAGGAAAATATTTTCTCTTTTGTTCCAGAAAGATCCTATTGATATTAATCTTTTGATTCTTCTGACATTTACCTAGAAACTCATAATACTGTTTATTTTATTAGAAACATATMTTTTTTGATTTTAGTGGAATATGTATCAACAAGAGTTAGATAATTAAATCATTTTTGCTTAGTAAGACAGCATCAGTTTACACAGTGAAAGTTTCATAATAATGTCTGATCTACACAGATCTGTGTCTGATCTAAGTTTGGAGAAATTTTATATTCAAATAGGTATTTAATAATGATACTGGCTATTGTCGAAATCACAAGTAATTTGCAGACATATTAAAAGAAGGAAATTTTAATTTTGAACATTTGCATAGTACGTTGGAGCTAGTGCCTAAAATTAAGAAAAGAATGTATTATAGAAGATTCAGTTTATACTCTATGTATTCTTTTGGTCTTTTGTTCTTAGGATTGTGGCCATATTCTCAAAAATATTTTAAATATTTTGTTCAGGTATATTTATAAACAATGAGAAAAAATTTGAAAAGAAAATGACAAAAACATTCTTATTGTTTTCCTAAGTCCAACACAAACATAATGAAAATATTTTTTTTCCAGTGTTAGTGAAATAATAATTTTACTAGTTGCATTCATTTTTAACTATATAAGAAAATGAGAAATTCTAGGTATAAAGAATATGTTATTATATAATCTTACCAGAAATATGAGAAAGTGCTTCTTGCCAATATTTATTGAAACTTGGAGGAAGCCAGTGGTTCCTGCCATGCTCATTTTACTTTTCTCCTGTAATTCGCCCATTATCACATCCATATGTGGAACTTTTCTCTTAGGAAATGCTTTCATATGGATACTATACCTTTTAGTTAGCCTCCACAGTGTTGGAAGATTCTTTAGTACTTTCAGTTTTTTCTGCTCCACAAGAATCTGTATGCTAAATTTGTGCAACCAATATGGAAAGCAGTATGGAGATTCCTTGGAAAAGTTGGAATGGAACCACTATTTTACCCAGATATCCCACACCTCGGTTTATACCCCAAGGACTTAAAAAACAGCATACAATGGTGACATAGCCACATCAATGTTTACAGCAGCACATTTTACAATAGCTAAATTGTGGAACCAACCTAGATGCCCTTCAATAGATGAATGAATAAAAAAAGTGTGATATATATGCAATGGACTATTACTCAGCATTGAAAGAGAATAAAATCATGGCATTTGCAGGTAAATGGATGGAGTTGGAGAATATTATGCTAAGTAAGCCAATTCCCAAAAAACAAATGTCAAATGTTTTCTCCATATGAATATGCTGATCTATAATGGGGATGGGGATGGGAGCATGGGAAGAATGTGGGAACTTTAGATAGGGCAAAGGGGAGGGAGAGGAAGGGAGAGG